GCACATGGCCCTGGCCTGCCAAGGCTGCAGGGCTTACTGGGGAGGGGCTGGACCTGTAGGAGGTGACTGAGGCCCTGTGGGGTCTGGGCTGCCGGTCATGCCGGAGAGTATTGTCTGCCACTGCCCAATGGCCACCAAGGAGCTGGCATGAGTGGCTTCAGAGCTCTCTCCACTCCCAACATCACTCCTGATACCCCGGCCCTCATTATTGTAGTTTTAAAAAACTATAGACACTGGACTGGCGGCTAGGAAAACAGGGTTCTTGCTCCTACCTCTGGAGCAAGTCACATGGCCTATGCAGGCCTCACTGTCTTCAGCTATAAAATGGATATCAGAGCTGTTCTCAGCACCTTGACTGTCTCCCACGCCTCCTTCCCTATGCACACTCAGCTGGCCATACCCCTCCTGAGGAGACATTCACCCCACCCATGCATGGGTTCTTGCTTCTGCTTAAAGCACTTCTCACGTTTATTTAACACACACATAGCAGCTACAATGCACCAGGCACTGTTCGAAGCTGCTTGTGAATATTAACCCATTTAAAGCTCCTAACTATAGAGACATGTGCTCTTATCCTCATCTCAGAGAAGAGGCAACCGAGGCACAGAAAGCTTCATGAACGGGCTCAAGGTCAAACAGGCAGTGAATGGATGAGCTGGGATCAAACCCAGGCAATTCCAGAGTGAGGAGGGTGGGAGGGATTAACAATTGTCTCTTTGGCAGCCGATCAACCATTGTCTCTCATCATTGATGTTTCTATCTCTTTCTCTCCCTGCCTTCCTCTCGGAATCAATAAAAATATATTTTAAAAAAGAACTGTCTCTTTCTCTCTGATCCTGGTTCCCAAAAGACAGGCCTTATATTTCTCTGCTTTCAGCTTGTTTATTTGGCAGCTGCCCGATAAACTCTTGTTGAATGAAAGAATGCACAAGTTAGTCCATCGGTCCCCCTGAGAGCCAGGAACGGTGGGTGGGTGGGGGGGGGGGGGTGTTGTTTCTGCTTTGCAGGTGGGGAATTAGATTAGTTTGCTAGGGCTGCCATAACAATGCAACAGACATTTCTTTTCTCTCAGTTCTGAAGGCTGGAGGTCAAGGTCAAGGTGTCAGGCAGGGTCGCTCCTTTCTGGGGGCTGTTCTAGGCCTCTCTCCCAGCTCCTGGTGGCTTGCAGGCAACCTTTGGTGGGCCTCGGCTTGTCCCCTGTGCGCAGGCCTGTGTCCAAACCTTAGGAACACCGGTCATGTTGGAGCAGGGGCCCAACTGGAGGTTAGGACTTAAATAGATAAATTGGGGGGACAGGAGCACAATTAAACCCTCAACAGGAATTAACCTTCTAGGAGGTCCTGTCCGACATAATCTCTGTCCCTGAATTGGGACCCTGCCTCTGCCTTTCATTCCTGCATCCCCCAGCGTCCAGGCCTTAGCACAAGCAGGTCCCTCTGCCCAGCACACTCATGCTCAACCCTCTGCCCCCAGTGCAGCCCCCACCACTGACCCTTCCACAATGATGCTCCTTCAGAACAAATTTCACTGCCCTCCCCACTGCATAGTGACACAGTGACTTGTGTGGCTGCCGTTGAGTGCCAAGGGCACAAGCAGAGGATCTCTTTTCCTCCACTGTACCCCCAGCCCAGTGTCAGTAAAAATCTGTGTGAACTCAAGGAACTATGCCCAGAGAGGTGAAGGGGATGGCCCGAAGTCACACAGTAGGTTCGTGGCAGAGTGGGCCTAGGGCCCAGCCCCCCTGACTTTGGGTCCCATGACCTTGAGGGGGTGCATTTCCCTCCCAGCCTTCCCCTGGCCTCATCGTGAGCCTCAGCAGGGCCTGCCAGTGACAGGGGAGCCCCCGAGACCTTGGCTGGACCGTGGCCTTGCACAACTCCAGGGGGAGCCCCTCACAGCACAGCTGTGGTTCTCACACTTTGAGAGTGCTTTCTTCTGTGTCTGGAGTCCTGCAGAGCCCAGGCTGTCACCTTCCCAAGGGACAGTGGCCTCTGTCTCTCACCCCCTTGTAGGTGAGGAGGGCCTGAGGCCCTGGGGCCTTCCCTACTGCAGGACCTACGACCCCCAGCCCCTCGCCTGTCAGGCTGAGGCTGACACATGAAGTCCTGGTCCAGAGCACGGTGGCCATGGGCTGTTGCCTGGCAACCACCTCTGAGAGACAAGTTCAAGGGAAGGGCTGGGTTTGAGCAAGTAGGATGTCTGCAGGGCGAGTCATCACCACCCTTGCTGCGCGCTCAGCCTCACAACCCCAGAGCCTCCCCTCACCCAGGAGTCCTCGCAGCTCCCATAACCCACAGATTCTAGCCTCAAACCCCATATAAGCTCTTTCCTCCCGCTGCCCCCCCCACTTCCCCCTTTATTCAGGGTCACCCTGTTGTACAAATCCCAAGGAGGCTAGAGTCACCATGTGAAAGTTTCCCCTGGGAGCTGTGAAATGGAATTCTCCTTCCTCGTTCATCTATTCTAAATGCTCACATGAAGGGCCCATGGTGCTGCCAGGCCCTGGAAACACAGATGCACCAGGAACGGTCCCTGCCTGGAGGGGCAAGGCTAGCAGGACACCCCGACACAGACATGCACATACGTGTGCACAGGCAGTGACACACATGTAGTGGGGGAACTTGAGCATGTTGGGTGGGGGTGGGGGTGAGGGGGGAAGAGCCCTGGCCTGGGCACCACTCCCACACAGCACTGGACCCTCATGGATACAGCTGAGATGTCCTGAGCACCTACTATGCACCTGAACTGTGCTTACATCCCCCAACCACCCCACCCCAGCCTGCTATTGATACTCCTGGCTAGCCTCCCTTTGCCATTGTAGTCTGTCCCCCACCCAACTCCTACGCCATTGGTCAGCCAGACTGTTCATCACAGAGTCCTACCTTCTCTCTGGCTGGGAGGATGGTCACATGACCCACACCTGGCCAATCATCACACCTGGCACTCTGTCACCTTGTCTTTGGTTATTGGCCCAAGGGGCCACCATGTGCCCTAGTTGAGACCAATCAGCTTCCTTCCATGAGATTTGAGATTTGGATACAGGAAGAAAGTGTAACTGCTGCTTTTGCATCAAGATCTGTAAGATGAGAGGCTGAGGCTTGTCAGAGGCATCTTCCACGTCCCCTGGAGGCCTGGGCACACAGAGCTGAGATGGATTCAGGGAGGGTCCTGATAGAGATGGACGCCCATACAAAATATCACATGATCTCACTCATTTGAGGAATATAATGAACAACATAAACTGATGAACAAAAATAGATCCAGAGACAGAGAAGCATCGAACAGACCAACAAACTTCAGAGAGAAAGCAGGGGAGGGAGAGGGGGTTAGAGATCAGTCAAAGGACTTGTATGCATGCACATAAACATAACCAACGGACACAGACACTAGGAGGTTGAGGGCATGTGCGGGGGAGGGGGTGAGGGTGGCTGGGGAGAGGCAATGGGGGGAAAAGGAGACATATATAATACTATATGTAATAGTTTAAACAATAAAAAATTTGAAAAACAGAGAGAGAAAGGCTTTAAGCACAAGCACATGCTGATAAATCATCCTATATAATAAAAGTGTAACATGCAAATCGACCAAACTGTGGAACGACCAGTCACAACCAGTTGGAGGCGAGCGGGGTTGGCGAGCAGGCAGCACCAAGCTAACCAAGGCACGTGCCAGCAGGCAGAAGGAGGGGACAGCAATGGGGGAGGGGGCAGTGGCAGCAACCAGCAGCGGTGGAGGGGCAATTGGGGGGGGGGTGCCGGCCCCTGATTGGCTGCCCAGTCGCCTCCCACAGAGGCGGGTTACGGCCTAAGCCATCAGTAGGACATCCCCTGAGGGCTCCTGGACTGTGAGAGGGCACAGGCCAGGCTGGGACCACCCCCACCCCCACCCCCAGTGCACGAATTTTTATTAACCGGGCCTCTAGTTTTTTAATAAAAATATAAGTACGCTGCCCTCCTTTCTGCTCAACTTTTCAGATGCCGGTCTTTCTTCACTCCTACCTCACAGTAATTTCCTCTAAGGTAGTTTTTATTTTATTGTACCTGTTCTCAAAGCAGAATACACACACACACACACACACACACACACACACCCACATGCACACAAATCTAGACACACACACACACACACACACACACACACACACACGCACACCAATCTAGACACACAGCACCTGGCAAAGGAATCGACCTAGGTCATGGCTGTTGTCATGTGTCACCATCTTTATTGACGAGAGCTAGGGGCAGAAGCAGCAAAGAATTTCTCTAAGGGGCCTCCCAGCCACCCTTGCAGAACAGGCTTCCCTCCCTGTCCCAGGAATCAGGAAGGTGGGGCGGCCTCTGCACTTGGGCCCCCAGGCCCCCTAAGGTGGTGAAACATACCTCCAGGCCCCGTCTCCCTGAGCCTCTGACCCCCAAGTCCACCTTCGTCATGTCCTCACCCCCAAGGCCCAGATACAGAGAGGTGAGGGAGAAGGGGTCACCCCCCCCCCCTTACAGTGTGTGTGGCAGTTTACCTGGTGTGACTTATTGTCCTCCCCAAACCCAAGGAGGCAGGCAAGCTGGGACAGCCACCTCCATTTTATGATGGGGAAACTGAGGCCCGGAGAGGTCGCAGCTGGCCAGGATCTGAGGTGAGTTGAAGATGTGGGTCCCCCAAGTTGTGGTCCGTGTGCTTTCCCTGAGGGCCCCTTGCCTCTGCAGGTGGAGGGTTTGGGGGATTTAGCCAGAGGTACCACCCTCCCCGGGGCCAGTCTCACTGTGGCTCTCAGGGGTCACCTGGGGGAGGGAGTCCAGGCCGGTCCAGGCCAGCCTTGGGCAGTGGTCTCTCCCTGTCGTCTCACCTTTGTTGTTGTGGTCAATCCTCACCCGAGGATATTTTCCCATTGATTTTTAGAGAGAGTGGAAGGGAGGGGTGAGACGGAGAGGGAGAAACTGCAACATGAGAGAGACACATCGACTGGTTGCCTCCCGCATGTGCCCTGGCCAGGGCCGGGATGGAGGTATGTGCCCTTGACTGGAATCGAACCCAGGACCCTTCCGTCCATGAGCCGACACTCTATCCACCAAGCCAAACCAGGGAGGGCCCTGTGGTCCCACGTTTTTGTCTTGTCTTGTCTTCCCTGGGCCTTTCCAGCCTGCAGCCCGGGGAATTCAGAGGGCGAGAGGCCTCCTCCGGTCTACCAGGCCCTGCTTCTCAGCACAGGCCAGGCCCAGCCCCTCTTCCCAGCACTGAGCGGCCTCAAGGGGCTGGCCCTGTGCTTTTCAGAGCATTTGCTCTCCCACCTGATGGCATCGCTTTCTTGGGACTGTTGAGCCAGGCAACTCAGTTTCATTGATGCAGCAACTGAGCTCAGTCCAGAGGGGCCAAGGACAGCTCCAAGGTCATGGAACAGATCTATCCTCCTTCCCTCCTCCTCCTCCCTCCTGTCCTCCCCCTCCTCCTCTTCCTCCTCCTCCTCTCAGCACTCACTGTCTTACCCTCTGCCCTTCCATGCCGGTCTCCTGGTGGGGCCCCTGCCTCGGTCAGCGAGAGGGGAAGCACGGGGATGCTCCCCCTGTGAGCTCTCACAGACCCAGAGACACCCCACTCCCCCCTCCAGGCTCCGAACACAAAGTGAGCTGTTTTGGGGATTCGTGGGCTGCCCTCGCAGGGCCCGAGCTAGGCTTTGGGTGGCCTAAGCTTATGCATGTGGGGTCCCTCTTTAAGAAAAGCCATACAAAATTCCAAGTACAAAATTAGGCTCAGGGACTCAGAGGTCCCACGCAGCAAGGGACCCTGCAGCTGGACTTAACGAGCTTCTGGGAAAATCCGCTTCTTCTCAAGTCCAGGATCACAGGAGTCCTGGCCCAACCGTCTGGCAAGAGGGCCTGGAGGTTACTGGGTTGCTCAGCAGGTGAGGCCTGCAGCCCAGAGAGAAGGGCTGCCTCAAGGCCTTGCAGCAATAGGGGAGAGCTGGTGCCTGAGCAGCCTCACACCCGCCCCCCACGGGGCAAGATTTTCTTCTACTGGGGGGCTGGGGGGGTGCTGGTCCAGCTCCCTGTGAACCTGGGCCCCAGCTCCTCTCCTATGAACCTGACCCTGAGCCCAGGAGACCCAGGCCTTGGTTTATCCTCTGAGGACCCAGACTCAGGCCAACCCAGCTGGATGCTCTGTCTCTGAAGGGGACGGCCAGTGTGCACCCCTCCCCTTAACCTGGGCCCCCCTCAGGAGGGTCAGCCCAGCGGTCATGTCCCTCCAGCCTTCTCATCCGGCAGCGCTTGTCTAGACCGATGACTCCCATCCCTGAGTCACAGAGGAGAACACGAGGCCCAGAGAGGGCAAGTGACCTATCGGAGGTCACACAGCGAGTCTCAGCAGCAGTGGGATCTGAACAGCCCATCACGGGCCCCTGGCACCTTGGGTGGCAGGCCCGAGGCGCGCCCGAGGCTCACCCACGGCCTCTGCTCTGTGCTTGGGCCGCTCTGGCCCTCCACCGGCCCTACAGACAGCTGATGTGCAGGGCGCCCGGCCTCTCCCCCGCGGAAGGCTCTTGGGGCAGGGACTGCTGCTCCTTCCCGGGCACACAGCTGGGAGGCAGCGCTTGCCTGCTGGTGCCAGGCTGTGTGATCTGGCTGACCCGGCCATTCATCTCCTTCGCTTCCCCCTGCTTCCCGGCCCCCTTCTCCCCACCCTCCTCTCCATCCTCGTCCTCCTCCTCCTCCTCCTCCTCCTCTGTCTTCTCCGGAGGTCCGGCTGGGGGCTCCTGGCTTCGCACCCGGCGGGAAGGCCGAAGCAGGACCCGGCGGAAGCCCTGCTTGAAGCGGTAGGAGAGGAAGCCATAGAGGATGGGGTTGGCGCAGCTGTTGGCATAGGGCAGCGCCACCACCAGGAAGTAGAGGCCGAAGAAGGCGGGCTCCTCGGGCAGCGGGCACACCACGTTGATGATATTGAGCACGTAGAAGGGCATCCAGCAGAGGACGAAGAGCGCCACCACGGCCACCACCATGCGCGTGACCCTGCGCTCGGAGCGCCGCCGCCGCTGGCACGAGGGCGCCCACACCCGCCGTCCCGCCGAGCGCATCTTGACCACGATGAGCAGGTAGCAGAGGCAGATGACCAGGAGGGGCCCGAAGAAGCCCAGCGCGGCCGTGTAGATGATGAAGCCGGCGCGCCAGGCCGCCGCGGGCTCGGGCCACTGCATGTGGCAGGTGCTCATGCCCCGGGGCACGCCCGAGAAGACCACCACGGGCAGCACCACCACGGCCGAGGCCACCCAGACGGCCGCGCTGACGGCGCGCGCCACGGGGGCGGTGCGCCAGCGGGCCGAGCGGGTGGGGTGCACCACCGCCAGGTAGCGGTCCACGCTCATGACCGTGAGGCAGAAGATGCTGGTGAACTGGTTGATGCCATCCACGGCCATGACCAGGCGGCACATGAGGGAGCCGAAGGGCCAGTAGGACAGGGCGTTCTGGGCGGCCAGGAAGGGCAGCCCCAGCATGAAGAGCTCGTCGGCCAGCGCCAGGTTGAGGATGTAGACGTTGGTGACCGAGGGGCTGGCCGTGTGCCGCAGGACCACGTAGATCACCAGGGAGTTGCCCAGCAGGCCCACCACGCACACCACCAGGTAGACCAGTGGGATGAGGACGCCCCTGACGGCCAGGCCGGCCGCGCTCGGGGCCACGGACACGTTTCCCAGGGTGGCGTCCAGGAGCCAGGCCGAGGCGTTGTCAGGTTCCGAGGTGGCGGGCACCGGTGAAGGATAGCCAAGGGGGTCCATGGCTGAGGGAGGGCGGTCAGCAGTCCGCTATCGGCCTGGAGGAGGGAGGACACAGCCAGGTCATGGCGGAAGATGGCTTCCTCCCAGCTGCCCCTCCCTCCTCACACTGAACTTGTGCTCGGCCAGAGTGACACGCACCAGCTCATCAGTGCACAGGCCAGCAAGGTATCCCCACTTCTCAGAGGAGGAGACTGAGTCTCAGAGAGGGAGAGTGACCTCCCTGCACCACCGTAGCTACGGTGTGGTGAGGGGCGCCGGCTTGCCTGGCTCTAAAGGGCAGGGACCAGCGCTGGCCTGTGTCCCCTCGCCTGTGCACAGGGTGAGTGCTACACAAATGTCCAATAAGGAATCAATGGATCATTCAATCAGCCGATGACAACATAGGCCCTTTCCTTTACACCGGTGCTTTCCACATATTTTTGATGCCAGTACATTTTACGTAGCAACCAATGGAGTCATATTGTTTCATAAAGCAACTCCTGCCCTTTCTACATAAGATGGTCCCAGCCAGTGGAGCCCCACGTGGATCACCTGCTGCTATAGACAATGTGTCTCCCACCAAAGCAATAAATCCTAACCCCCAGTGTGATGGTGTTGGGAGTTGATTATGTCATGAGGGTGGAGCCCTCTTAAAGGGGATTAGTGCCCTTATGAGGCTCCCTTTGCCTTTCCCCTTCCGCCAGGTGAGGACACAGCAAAAAGATGGCCATCTATGAACCAGGAAGCATGCCCTCACCAGGCACCAAATCTGCCAGCACCTTGATCTTGGACTTCCAGCCTCTGAAACTGTGAGAAGTAAATTTTGGTTGTTTATATGTCTGTCCCCCAATCTATGGTAGTCTGTTGTAGGAGCCCAAATGGACTGGGACACCCACCAACAGGGCTCAGCCCTCACATTTGAAAACACTGCTGCATGTCACGGTTCCTTAACCTTGAACTTGGGTCTCCAGATGAACTTCAGAGCATCCATGAACCCCGAAAACTTTGAATGCCCAGAGCTTTCATCAGATTAAGAACCACAGGCTCAGGAGTACCCCTCCCCTGGGAGTCAGAGCCCTTGGGGACCTTTTCTGCCTGCCCCAGCCCACGTGCAAAGACCCTGCCCAGGATGACTGGCTGTGAACCTGGGGAGGTAGGGCTATCTGGGGCCCCTTCTCCCCCAGAGGGAGACTTGTAGAGAAATTCAAAACACACTAGAGCAGCGGTCGCCAACCCGCTCTCACTCAGCTGCCTCCCCCAGCCTTGGCAAGCCGGGCTTCCCTGAGACGAGGGCATTTCAGGATGGGTTTTGAAGCATCAGTAGGAGCACGTCCCCCAGCATGGTGGGAACCAGCATTCCCACGTACTGTGTTAGCGCCCTTCTTGTCACACCTCCCATGTGTGATGAGGAGCTGGGACTCCTCCTGGCTCCCCTGCTGGACTCGACTCTCCTTACGTGTGGAGTCGCTCTCACTCAGCTCTGAACCTTTCCGGTCTCCCCGCTGTCCCTTTCACACCAGCCCGAGCTCTGCATCCGTGTTTGAGGCACCATCCAAACCAATCAGAGAGCCAGAGGGGACAGATCTTAACGGGGAGGGAGGATGCATTGCTGAGAGTGGAGACCCAGGCCCCCGGGAAAGGCCCCCCGCCCCCGGATTTGCTAGCCTCCCTCAGCCAGACTTCTTGGCTCCCAGGAGGCCCAGTTAGAGACCAGGTGGAAGCTGCAGCCTCCTCTGGGCCTAGACCTCCCCCTGCTTCCTAATGACCCTCCCACGATCCAATATCTTCCTGCCAATCCAACACTGGGGGTTTGCATTGCCCTGTCAGGACCCGCTTTCCTGATGCAAAGCTCCGGGAAAGGGGAGGTGCCCCAACTCGGAGCAAGCATCGCTGGGTGGGCGAGTGCGCCTGGGTGCCCTGCCTGATGATCTGGCGCTTCCGAGGGTTCTGAGGGCCAGGCAGGGCGATGCTGAGAATGGCAAAGCACCCCGTGGCCGTGGCTCCCCCTGAGGGGACCCCAGGCTAGCTGGGCTCAGAGCACCCCCTCCCTGTCCTCATCACCCCAGGCCCTCATCAGCTCCCCTGGGCCTGGGACACCATCTCTAAGGGAGGGGCTCTGGGCAGTGGCTCATGGGGTCCTAACAGTGTGGCCAGCTCCTTGTCACAGAGCCCGACTGCCAGGTTCCCGGCTAAGCGGGTGACGCTCTGCACCCGGTGGTAAGCACTGTGTCTGCCATTCCCAACATGCAGACCGGGAACAAAGTGAGTCCACACACTCTGGTCACAGAGCTGTGAAGGGGCAGAGCTGGGAGGACCCACTTCACAGGCTGGCAGACTGAGGCCAGGCCCGGGGAAGGCACTTGCCTGGTGGGTCAGGCCGCCCAGCTGGCTTCCAGCTCTCCCACCGGCCTGTTCAGAGCTCTCTCGGCTCCTCAGGACCTGGAACTAGTAGGACCATAGACCCAAATCCCTAGACTCTTGGAGGCCTAGAAATAGAATTGTAGATTCTTAGAACTGAGTTGTGGTCATGGGCTTTTAGATCCGTGGCCTTGAATCAGGGAATGTTAGCGTTCCAAGTACCCGAGCCAGCCCTCCTGAGACCCGGGACCGTGGAATCTGGGACCTGAGCCCTGGCCTCCTCCGGGAGCCCTGCGTCACCCACCCATCCCCCTTGCCTCCCTGTCGCAGATCCTCGTTACCGCCTCCCCGCCAGGCGGCCAGTCCAGCCCAGCGATGGAAGAGGGAGGGGTGCTGGGCTCCCAGGAGAGGAGCAGTGAGCCGGGCAGACCTGATTGCCAGGCTGCAGCGACAGATGCCCCCAGGGAGGCCTGGGGGTGAGCTCTGAGGACAGCCTCCCTCTCGCCGGTCACACACGTGTGCACCCACCCACACACCACGTGTGCTAACGCACAGGGTCCTGGCAGGATACAGGGGACCCACTAGGCCCAGCTCCTCCCAGAGCCCCGGCCCCCTCACGAGATGCCCTGCCTCCACCTTAATCTGGACCCACCTCCCCTGGCCAAGTTCAAGGGGCCAGGGCGCCAAAAGCAGGGAAAGAACAGCTTTCCGGGGGCGTCAGCCAGACCTGCAATTTAGGTGCCGCCTTTTCTTTAAGGAGCCGGAATCCTGTGCATGATCCAGTTCATCCCGGGGGAGGCTCTTCCCTGTCTGGCTTGTCTTGGCACCGTTTGCCTGAAAGCTGGGGGTGGACCCCTCAGAGGACTGTTCAGGGGGACGGAAGCCCAGAGAGGGCGGGTGGCGGCCCTGAGCCCCACACAATTCAGGACGGCGGGATTCCAGACGCCCCATCGGTTCGGCATTTGTCTGTCCCCCACCCCCTGCCCCTCTAGGGTGCTGGCTCTTGGGTGCAGGGACCCTGCGCACCTAGCACAGCACCCAGAACATCAAAAGACAGGACTAGACCAAGACGCTCGGCGAGTTGGAGCTCTGAGCGAGGTGGGGCCTTGCTCCTGGGCAGACGCTTCAAACTCACATTATGAAACCCTCCCAGGGCCCACGGGGGAGGGTGTTCAGAAAAGAGGAAGTTGAGGCTCAGAGAGGCTCAGCAAGTTGCACAAGGTCACTCAGCTGGTGAGCGGGAGGTCAGAATTCAAACTCAGTTCTGTCTACTCAGAAACCATCAGCACCCCCTGGCCCTGGTGGCGTAAAGGAAGCAGGGACTGGGCCAGCCTGGACCATGCAGGCTGCTGGCCCCTGGCTAGCTGTGTTCTGTTTGCCCTCTGCTGCCCCGGGCCTTCCCGAGGAGGCCCCAGGTCACTGCCCACTGAACACTCCCACCCCAGGCCTGGCATCTGACCCCAGGAACACGCCCCGCATGCCCGAGTTGTGTGACCTTGGGCAAGTCACTTCCTTCCTCTGGGCCTCAGTTTCCTCCTGTTAAATGAAGACAAGCGTACCCACCTCCCGGGGTGGCTGCGATTACACTGGAGCGTGCAGAGCACGGCGCCCAGCACAGACAGGGGGCTCAGGAAAGCCGGCGCATGAGCGGAGGAGGCCACGCAGCACGATGCATCTGGCTGCTTCCAGCTCCGACACTGCCCTGCAGTGATTCCCAGATCCGAGAGCTGTGGTGCAAAATTCCAAGATGAATGGCCCCCCACCCCCACAGCCCACCCAGAGGTCACGGGAAAGCCCCCTTGCCCCCTGGGCCTCCCCACCCTCTCCAGCGGCCAGCCCCAACCTCCCAAATGTATGCTGGGCAGAGGGGGAGCTCCAGGACCCCACCCTCTGGGACCCCCCCTCAGCCCCAGCCTCCTTACCTGTCCGTGGGGTGAGGGATCCCCTCCTTGCTGCCAAGCTGGTTATCATTCTGTTGTCCCTTCTCCTTGCACAGTCCCCAGCTGCCCCCAGAGCACCCCTTAGCCGGGATCCCCGCACACTGCCCCCTTCCAGACTGCTTGCGGCCCGGGCCCCCTCCTAGGCCCGCGGTGGCCACGTCTGCCCACAGAGCCTCTTCCATCTGGTCTCCAGCCCTGACTTCCCACTGGTGCGTGGTGCGTCCCCCCTCATCTCCGGGACATGTCCTGGAGGGCAGGGACGCAGATGGGGTCTGCCAGCAGGAGCCTGGGGTGGGGATGGAGGGAGAAGCCTCCCAAGGAAAGAAGAGAAATGGGGAGCAGGGGACGATAGGAGCCAAGAGCGATAGAGGGAAGGGGGGCCGGTCGGAGGTGGAGAGAGAGGGAGAGAGAGAGAGGACAGTGAGTGGGTGGAAAGCCAGAATGAGGGGGAGTGATGAGAAATGCGTGACAGGGAGAATAAAAGGAGGAGGAAAGAGAGCGAGAGAAGGGAAGAGAGGGAGAGATGCGGAGAGAGGCAGGGATAGAGAGCGGGGAAGGAGGAAGGGGAAGGAGGGGGTGGCAGAGAGAGTGACAGAGAAGGATTGTGCCACAGATGGTGACATGGAGAGCCAGGGAAGGAGGGAGCAGGAGTGGGGGTGTGGGAGGGGCTGGGGGAGGGGCCCAGGGGCCAGAGAGCAGGTGCAGGGTGAGGGAGGAGGGAGGGCAGGTTAGGGGAGGAGGCTGGCAGGAGGGGGAGGCCTGTTACCGGGGAGATTTCAGCCACCCACGCTGGCCTTGGCTCCTGCAGGGTGTGGAGAGAAGAGGGTGGTACTCAGGGAAGCTGGGGGCTGAGAGCCAGGGGCCAGGGGCCCCCACCCCAGGCCACCAGGGCACATGTCCCCTAGGGTGACGCTGGGTCCCGAGGCCAGGTGGGTGTGGCAGTGCCACCAGGAGGGCTGACAGCGTGGGGTGAGCATTGGAATGGGAGTCCTGTTCCCGGCCACAGGCTGGACACGGGACACGGAGGAAGGCCAAGTGGGGGTCGTCAGTCCCGAGACTGGCTGAGTCTGGAGGGCCCGGGCAGGGCGGGGCGTGGGAGGACAGGGGCCAGAATAAATGCTGCAGGCTCTGGGGCCCAGGAGGCAACGCAAAGCTGCAGAAAACAAATGTCCACTCTTCGTACATTGACAAAATTCAAAATCTAATAGTAATGATTAAGGACGATGATTTGTGATGCAGGTCTACCGCTGAGAAGAGCAGAATTCTTTGGGGGGAAGTAATATTTGGCTTAATTGAAATTCAAAGGTGGTATTTCCCATCATCAAATCGGTTGGCAGTGGTCACTGTGAAATCTATTCTTAGCTGGCAGGCGGCGCGGCAGCAGGCGGGGGCGGACCTGG